TCATTATATATATATAAAAGATGTGTACCAGATAAGTAGATTACTTCCTCCACACTCCAGTGAGTACACATAGCTTCAGTAACATTGCTTCTTCATAACTAGACGTTTTTTTACCGAAAATTTACATGTTCGGGGTGAACCCTATCTGGGTCAACAAGCTTGCCCAAGTGAGGCAGAGACACCAGTTGACTCCAACAAACCCAAAGTGGAAGGAAAGTGGAGTTGAACTCAAAAAAAGAGCTCAACTCTGTGGGTCACCTTTTGTGGGTGTGTCGTTGTCCCATGGAAGCCATTCGGGAAAGGCTATCAGATGTGTACATTCTCCTGGATGGATGTAAGGTCAATGTATGGTGCACAAGCTGCTAAATGTTCCAACCCCTTTTAAGTTTTAAGTGTGAATCCTGGCAGATGTATGAAAGGCAGTACCAATGTGGTGCAAGTTGTGCTATACTAGCCAGTGCAATGAAGTGACAGACATTGACTGCATGTGAGGCATCTAATGGAGAGGCCTGATACCCACCCTCTTGCCTGAGAGTCCTGTGTGGTGGGAACTTTGCAATGCCAATTCACATTCAAGGGAGTATGAAGCATTGAGTAGATAATGGTACAAACCCGGCAAAGTGCAGTAAGCTGCCTTCATCAATTGGGATAGCCTCTGGTTGCCATCCATAGTGAAAAGAACTTCCCTTCTCTCCACAAAAGCCTTGAGAAAAACCTCTAGAAAGACATCACTAAAGCCTGGTCCTTTTTTCCAGGTCTTTAACATCTCCAGGGATGAATACCAGAGATGAGCTGTCCTTGAGTGATGTTCCTGAATTGCAAAGAGTCAAGAGCTTTCCAGTCCCGTATTTAAAAGGTGCCCAAATAGTGGAACCCTGAATGTTCCAGCAGGTATCAGAACTTCCTGCCCACAAAATTTGGCATTTTAGCCCATGCATAAGTATCTAATGAGCTGAGAAAAATGTAATCGATTGGTAACATCCAAACTGACCCCTGAGCAAAAGTGCCTCCTGCTATTATGCCCATTTCCACACTTAGACTCAAACAAAAATTTCATCCTGTGAGTAAGAGCCTGGGATTTAATGTGAGCGATTGGAATCTTGCCGATCAGCTGGAGAGCTAGTGGAAACATCACTGGGTGCTCCATGTGAGATACCCAACCAAACCAAATACCCATCAGCCTTTTTCTGGCCAGACTTAGGTCTTACACTTGCTTTCAAATCCCTCTATGGCCTTACCCTTTCCTATCTGTTCAACCTCCTGCAACTGTTCAAGATATCTACAGTCCTGTAATTTTAATTTCTTGTACGTTCCCATTTATAATCGCTCCATCAGTGGTGGCTACACCATCAGTTACCTAGGCCCCAAGCTCTGGTGTTCCTTCTTTACAGCCGTCCATCTCTTGTGTGTCACTACCCCTCTAAAAGCCTACCTCATTGACCAAGCTTTCAGTTATCTGACCGCACATCTCCTTATGTGGCTGATCATACATTTTTTTTAATCATGCTCCTGGTTTGTTTCATTAACTAAAGGGATTATAAGAATGTTGAGCTCTTAGAAACAAAAGATTACAGGAAGCATATGCTACCCCAGTCAATTCTCTAAACTTGTCCTGATCAGAAATTGGGGTAATTATTAAAAGCTTTCAAAAAAAGAGAGTTTTTTTTAGAGAATACAGTATGGCTCCAATGTTACAGTAGTGACTTTAGTTAAGTATGAAGGACATTGAGGCAAGCCAGGCATGTTGAATGTATTGGGGAGGTGACCTCTATCTCAGGATTAGTACAAGATTGGAGGAGTAAAAGATGTATGTGGTATTTCATTCATTCCCTAGTTATATTAGCAAGCCTCTAGGATAGCACTGCTGTTCCATGCAGCATGTTTCAATTAGATTACAGCAGATTGGCTTGCTGTGTTACAACTCATTCATATCCTGAGGCCTAAGCTCAATATCTGCGCTACGAATTCAATTATTTATGCCAGGTGCCAGATCAGCTTGCTGTGTCTCATAACCTTGGGCTGAAATGTTTATGACCCAACCCTTCCAGACCACTGTAAGTGGATTCCATATAGCAGGCCATCTTACTGTATTCCAACTATACACCTCAGGCTAAAGTAAGCATAGTGGTATTGTTGGATGTGCAAATTATTTTGATGGATATAGCCAGAACCTCCAGAGAATTTGTACCAGAATCCATAACCACATTTAGTCTGAGCATTTCATGGATATTTTAATATGGAATGAGTCTGGGAGCAGGTGAAAGTTAAGAAGGATTCAGGGAGATGTGCCAATCAAAACAATTCAAATTTATTAAAATAAGATATGAGTAACTCCTTTTTTTTGTTTAATATTTTTCCCTGCCATGGGCTTTTGGTCTGGTATGCTGCATTTTTCCTTATTCTAGACTGAAACCCTTGGTAGCATTCAATTGTGGAATTGTCATACAACCTTCTGACGCATTATGTTAGAGATTAAACAGGCACAGAAGTGAATTTCAGTGAGACCAAATCTCCTTTTTGAAAGTCACTGTAGATAACATAAAATTGTTCCGTGTGATTATATATTCCAGAGCAAAACTGTGTCAAAAATCCACGCTGAGAGATTTCAGAGTTTTTCACTGAGATCATCAGAAATGTGAATCTGTCAGTTTGAGTTGGCATGTTTATCTAAATTATAAAACAGGTTCAAAGGACTAGCCCTGAGCAAAAGCAGGAGTGTGAATTTATGAGCAAGATGTAGCTCAGAGCAGGATAATATTCTTATAAAATCACAGGAAGGTAAATTGAGAGAAATTCATGTGTTTGCCATGAGTTAGTGCTAGATCACAGCAAAAAGTAATGCTGCCAGGGTGTGTGTTGAAGTCTGCTCAAGAAGTTTGAGTCGTTGTGGCCATATGTACTTTTCACATCTGTGTTTTGGCCTGGAGCTATGGATCCTGATCTGGTGGAAGCTGTAACTTTCTTTCTAACATGTGACAGACTGGGAATCTCTCCTCTTACTGCCTGGCATTGATGTGTGTGAGAAGGGTTTTTAGGTCCTGAGGCAGGTCTGGAACCCAGAGCTGAGACTGAGGGGTAGGGACCACACCCATTGCACCACAAGACCTCACTGTGGGTAATGTCCAGGCTATTAAACAGTGAAATATGTCATATGGTATATCCTCACCATGGCACATCTTGGTAAAAGATACCGTAGGTAGATTTGTTGCCACCACCTCTTTCCTTGTAAGGATCAACAGAGCCTAGCAGGTCTAGTGTGGTAGAGAACAACCAGCTTGTAATCTGATAAGAAGAAAGGCTCTTGTCTTAAACAAATAGTTTATTGCAGACATTAACTTGGTAAAAATTACATCACTATGGTACACATTATTCGTGAGATTGCAGTGTTAGGACTTACTCCTTCAAGATTCAAAACTATTCTCCCATTTATGTTCATATAGAATCATAGAATCCCTACTGTGTGAAAGCAGACCATTTGGCCCATCAAGTCTACACTGACTGTCCGAAGAGCATCCCACCCAGACCCACCCCTATCCCTGTAACTCTGCATTTCTTATGGTTAATCCACCTAGCCTGTACATTCCTGGACACTATGGGCAATTTAGCATGGCCAGTCCACCTAACCTGCACATCTGTGGACTGTGGGAAGAAACTGGAGCACCGGGAGGAAACCCACATAGATACAAGGGTGACATGTTGGCTAGTGCTTAATGCTGTCCTCAGAATTAACCCTTTCAAAGCCTAATGGATTTATACAACAACATAGAGCACAAGTAGACTAAACCATGGACATGAAGCATTATACTAAGCTTTGATGTGCCCAAGACTGCACTAATTCTGCCTATACATACATACCAATGATGTTGATTTTATGTTCCTGGTTTTTGTCAACTTTTTCTCATTGTCTGAAAAGGGAGGGCAGGAAGAGATCTCGTGATTCATCAGGCCTGCCCTTCATGCACTTAAATGTGGAAACATCTTCTCTACATTTCCCTTATGAAACCAGTTCGCTCGTCCATTATCTGTCTCTTTCCGCAAGAAAGGAAGCTCAGCCTATTCAATCTGATTAGGCCTGGCTCGTAAACATTAGCATGTTGTCATCCAGATCCCATTAAGTTAACAGTGCTTAAATGCATATATTCTAATTTTAGCTGTTTTGAGTAGGTGGCAAGTAGGCAAAGCAAGTAAACCTTATTCACTGATAGACAATGGTGATAATTAACATTGATCCTCCATCGTTAGCAGAGTATCTGTCTCAGTGCTCTCTGTATTCTTCCTTGATGACGTTAGCCTGGTAGCTTGATTTTCTGGAAGTCTGATCAAGAATTGTTCAGCCATATTTTCTATTAAGTGTTATTTTAACAGCAGCATTAACCAATTTCAAATTAAAGTGTCTAACCGGGAAATTGGTGTTAATGTTGGGAAAACCTAAGTCAATTTCTTGCAAGTAATGATTAACTATTGAACAATGTCCAGAATTACTTTCACAATTTAATCATCATGTAATTACTGTTTATGATGTGGAAACGTTGAAATTTGCAGTTGCTATCACTTCCTGCATGGCTCTGAGTAACTCAATAAAGCTGCAAAATTTTTCCCTTGAAAGTAAAGGCTGATGCAAAGTTGGAGAGTTGAACAGCTTTGGGTTCATGGCGTGTCTTATTTGAGAAGGGGTTCCTTGAAGAGCAGGGCTTTGTAAGTTAATGTTCATCTCCTTTACCATTCTTGTGTTCACAAGAGATCCTAGGAGAAATTGAAAATTGAAAACTGCTGATTTTTGTTTTTAGCTGCTGTTCACCCCTAGGCCTAAACAATATCACTTATATCCTTTGCAAGTTTACCAGAATTAAAAACCTTGTTAAATATTATAGAAAGTCAATATTGCTAAAATGAACCTAACCATAAAGCTGTATCAGGTGATTATTGTAATATTGAGTGGTGACTCAATTCAGTTTAGGATTTTGTTGGAAAGGTTAATCATGGTATGTTTCTGCTTGCAGCTGATATACCTGCCACCACCTTGGGGAGATTGTCAGTCTTCAGCTGTCAACACTGACTTTTTCCCAAGCTATAGCATCACAGCTTGTAGGATTGACTGTGAAACAAGGTACCTCGTGGAGAACTGCAACTGTCGAATGGTACATATGCCAGGTGAGCGGGAGCCCAAGTTTCTGCTTTTACTGTTTCACAATCTTCTGAGTGGCATTCTGGTAGTTATAAAATAAATTGAAATAATAATTGTGCTGCTTTATAGGCTGCAATATCCAGGTTTGAGCTGTGATGTGGCAAGTACCATTCATGTCACAAAGATACCAGGCAATGACTATCTCCAACAAGAAAGAATCTAATCATCACTCCTTGACATTCAATGGCATCACCTTTACCTAGACCCCCACTATCTACATCTTGCCAACAGATACTGAACCACTACTTGTATTTGTATTGCAGCTATAAGAGCGGGTCAGAACCTCTCAACATCAAGAAAACATTCCACTTTATCTTTCTTATGTCCAAAGTGAAAAGTCTTGTGTTGAACTCTGTCTGTCAGAGAGTTGCTCATTTATTTAGTTGGCTTTGTGCTTCATGCACTCATCTACACACCCTCTTTGCTAATTTATTTTTACAAATCCATAACTTGTGCAAAAGATGTTTCAGTTGCTGGAAATGTTAAACCACTGAATCCAATACATGTTTGGAATTCATTAAATCTATACTTAGATTAGCTACAGTGACCCGGGATCCTTTATTCTCACTTGACAGTTAGACCATAGCAAACTTTAAGAATTGCATTTATAGTCTGCAGATTTGATGATTATCCAAAGTTCACAGGATTGTGATCTAAGATGACAGTTATTACATGGATTTCGAGAGCTCTGTGTACAGCACAAGGATGGTTTGGATCAAAGAATATTGTATCTTCAGGGTAAAGTAGATGAATTTCTGAAACTGGGGAAGATCCAGAGCTATGAGGAGAGAAGAGCAATGGGATTAGTTTTGGATTGACCACTAATGAGCAATTTCCAGGAAACTGGGATCTGCCTGTGTTATAAAAATCAATGCATCTGAACCAATCACAGAAACTGGACTGCCACAGTGAAGAAACAGATGTTTTATATTTTTCTGTATCTAAAATGATCACAAGAAGATCATGGAATATTCAGAGTTTCAGATCATTCTATGTTGTTCATTGCAGGTGATGCACACTACTGCACTCCGGAACAGTACAAGGAATGTGCAGAGCCGACATTAGGTGAGTTGGTTCCCCTTCAGCTTGTTAGACTGGGCATAATACTAGGCATTAACAACAATAATATGCAATTTTATAGTGCTGATAACATTAGTAAACTCACAAGGCACTTTCACAGGAGTGTTATCAAATTTGGCACAGAGTTGCATGAAAAGATATTAACACAGGTGTTCAAAGGCTTGGCCAAAGAACCAATATTGAAGAGTGTCTGAAAGGAAGAAAGAGTGGAAGAGAAGCTGAGCGATTTAGGGAAGGAACTCCAGAGCTAGGAGCCTTGGTTAGCTGGAAATACAGCTCAATAATGGAGCAATTCAAATCAGGAATGTTCCCGAATTCAGAGTTGGAAGAGCACAAATAACTTGAATGTTGTGGGGTTGGAGGAGATTGCAGAAATAAGGAAGGAAAAGCCCATAAGATATTTTAAAAACAAGACTGAGAATTTTAAAATGAAGGTGTTGCTTAATGGGAAATCAATGTAGAAAAGGGAACATGGGGTGATGGGTGAACAGTGAGGCCCTCACGACAGGTCCCTCAGCCCGTCAATACATGTGGATGACAAAAATTAATCAATCTCAGAATTAAAATTTACAGTTGCCCTAGCATTAACTGTTGCTTGAGAAAGTTAGTCCAGAATTCCTCATCCTTTGATGGTAAGGATGGTTTTCTCATTTCACTTGTGAAAGTGATGTTTTTAGTTTTTAGATTATGCCTCCTTGTCCTAGACTTTAACCAGAAGAAGTAGTTTCTCTGTATCTATTTTGTTCACCTTGATGCCTTGAAAGCTTTGAATAGTGTTCAGCTTTGACAGTAAAGAAAGAATTACATTTGTATATTGCCTTTCGCAACTACTAGATGTGCTTTACAGCCAATCAAGTACTTCTGAAGTATAATCATTTTTGTAATACAGGAAACATGGCAATAAGTTTGCACTCAGCTGATTTTTTGTGAGGTTGACTAAGGGATAGATATTGCCAAAGAGACTGGGGACAATGCCCCTGGACCTCTGCAAGATAATAACCTGAGATATTTCATAAGTAACTGAGAAAGTTCACAGGGCTTTGGTTTAATATCGCATCTGAATTTCAGCACCTCTCTCACTCAAGTTTTAGCACTGATTTTTGGACCCAAGTCCTGGAATGTTTGTTCAACCTGGAACTTTCCTGACTCTAGTTAGAATGCTTCAAACTGAGCCACGACTGATACAAGTGCAAGATGCAGACAAATGTGCCTTATATGATTCAGTCAATTCTAACAGGTTAAACAACCAACAACAATGTGATACGAAAGCAGAAATTGCTGGAGAAACACAGCCGTTCTGGTAGCATCTGTGAATAGAAAGTAGAGTTAAGGTTTCAAGTCCAATGATCCTTCTTCAGAATTGATGGTAAATAGGAAAAGGTGGGATTTATGCTGATACACAGGGTGTGTGATAATGCCTCTAGGATAACGGTTAAGTCCAATTATACTAATGAGACTGATGTCAGTGATGGCTGTTGACAGGGAGAAATGGAATATGTACACATGGAACTGTGACCAAGCCTATACAGTTATGGAAACACTCCTTCCTACCCAGTTATGTATATAGTTAAAGAGGTTGTTGTTCATTGTTATGAGGAGAAATTCACCTGTGTCTGCAACCTCAGTAAGATCCTACCACAATGACCAGATAATCTGTTTTGTGATATTGATTGAGAGACGAATATCGACCAGAACACAAAGGACAATTCACTTGTGAGTTTGAGTTCAGGACTGAACAACACAACAACTTATACCTATGTAGTGCCTTCAGTGCTTTATAGAAGCATTATAAAATGAAAGTATGACATCCAAACACAAAAGATATGTTAGGTGACTAAAAGCTTAGGTATATTTTGAAACATGTATTAAAGCAGGTAGATCAGATAGAGAGGTGAAGATATTCAGGGAGAGGATTCTCAAGTTAGGGGCCTAGACAGCTAGAGGCATAGCCATCAGTAGTATTACATGAAAATGCACGAGAGGCCAGATTTAGAGGAGCACAGATATCCCAGAGGGTTGTAGGACTGGAGGAGATGACAGATAGGGAAGGGCAAGGCCTTGACAAGAAAAACAAGGATGAGAATTTTTAAATTGAGATATTGCTTGACTGAGGTCAGCCAACACAGAGATGATTTGATTTTGATTTTGATTTTATTATAGTCAAATGTACCTAAGTACAGTGAAAAGTTTTGTTTTGCGAGCAGCACAGGCAGATCATAGCAAACAAGGACATACAGATCATAGGGTGCTTAGACAGAGCAAGGCATGCAGGGTATGGCTGCACAGGAGGTGCACAAAGCAAGAACAACATTAGAAAGACCAACATTATTTGAAATTAGAGAGGTCCATTCAGCAGTCTAATAACAGCTGGGAAGAAGCTGTTCTTGAACCTGTTGGTGTGTATGTTCAGGCTTCTGTATCTCCTGCCTGGTGGAAGGGGTTGGAATATGGATCTTGATATGAGTTAAGATATAGGCAGCAGACTTTAAGAAGGAGGAACTTGGAGAAATTTGATCTGGTGAACAAGGGGCAATAATACAGATGGTAGGCGCAGCTGATGTATACTCTCAATTACGATTTTGGAAGTGCAGCTGTAAATGAATTGGAAGAAGGCTATTTCTGGGAACACACACACACAAGCATGTGCAGTTAGGAACAGAACGGGGCAGATGAATTGAGAGCAATACAAAGAAGCAATCAAAGATGGCCTTACCTTAATTTGATTTGATTTATCTGTTGCAATGTGTAGTTTATGACAAAATACAGTAAGAAATGTTGTATAGTGTCACCACTCTCCAGTGCCATCTTAAAATAGAGAAATATAAATCAAAACATAGAATATAAAGGCAGAAAAATAAAGAAATAAGGTTCAACTCTACAGTCCCTCTTGTCAAGTGCTCAGCCATGGATGTGGAGCCATACCTGTGACTGAAGTAGTAAAAGGAAAAGCAAACCAAAATAGAATTGTGAAGCTAAAGGGGTGATGGTGCATATGGCTTTGGGAGTTTTTTTTATGAAGAGAGAGATTAAGGAAGGAGAGTGAATACAGAAATAATTTTATCAATTGAGATGAAGGTTGAAAGCAGGAAGAATGAGAAGTGACTTAAAGCAGAGACGGTGGAGTGCCAGTGTTTGTTATGCATCCTTTATTGACCTTTATCCAAGTGGTTTCCACAGCTTTTTCAGAGGGCAGTTAAGAAGAGTCAAATTACTGTGAGTGTGGAGACACCTGTCAATGGGACCGGGTGTGAATGACAGGATTCCCTCTCTAAAAGGTATTAGCAAACAAAAATTATTGATTGTTTCATGGTCATCATCACTGGGAATCATTTTTAATTCTAGATGCATTGAGTGCATCCAAATTGCACCAGCTGCCATAGTGGGATTGGAATCATCTCCCGAAGACATTACCTTTGACCTCTGGTTGACTAGCCCAGTGATATTACCATTATATTACCATCTCTTATTGATAGCATTTTCAGGGTACCTGGATCAGTAAGATGCTTGAAGAGGACTGGGGGAAGTGGATCTAGATGTCATTGAGGACCAAGATGAGGAGAACATTTTTCTTCAGCGAGTGATAAATCTTTGGAATTCCATACCCTAGAGAACTACAGAAACTTTCCTATTGAGTGTATCTAAAGTAGTGGTTGATAATATTTTGATTATCAGTAGTGTAATAGGTTATGGGGATAGTATAGATAAAAGGTCATGAAATGCTTGATCAGCCATGGTCTTATTAAATGGTGGAGCAGGTTTGATGGGCTGAATGGCCTACTCCTGCTCCTATATTCCTATTTGGTGGTCAGAGCCACACTTCCACAGCGATCGTCTGGACAAATGGCGAGAGGTCTAACCAACTTGCGTGGCTTCATTTAGTGGCAAGGTGTCATCAACTCTTAATCAGATTTCCATCAAAACACCATGACATTTATGCAATCCTACATAATGAACTCATAGATAGTGAAGGCCTCGATCTCAGATAAAGGGACATTCTGGAAGGTGGTGTTGGGAGAGGTGATCTACTGGTAGAGCTAACCCTGGGGAGGGGTGAAATGGATGGGAAGGAGATTGACAGGATTAGCCATGGCTGGTTTCCAGGGGTTTAGTGGGATCTTTGGAGGGTGCCGAGAGAAAGACAGCAGATTTATTTAAGAGGGATAAGCACATGATTCTGGCAGGAATGTTGGAATAGATTTGACAGGGCAATATATCTAATTTCCTTGCCAATGAAACAAGGTATGATGACAAGATAAGAAAACTCATAAAGATGGAAGTAGGAGAAATGGGTTTGGATCTGTGCATGTGACTGGATGCAGAGAAAACTCCAGTTACACACACCCAATTAAAAATATTAGGAGACCTAAATTCCAATCTGGACTAGAAACCCTATTTTTGAACCTAATCAAACAAAATAAAACACATTTAGCTTCTTCTAATCTTCCTGAACCACTGTCTGATGGAGGGCCTTCAGAACCACCACACTACAGCAAACCCTGGATGGTGTAATACAGAAAATCCGCACAGAAATCACACCCTCTTTTACTGGTATTCTGGTAAGTAAAGAACTTAAATGCCTAAAAGCTTCTTTGAAAGTCACAGAGTAAAGGTAGGTATGTAAGGATGAGATGGATAAGGGTGGATAAGTTAAGTGGGTAAGGGGACAGGGAAGTTAGGTAAGGGGATAGGATACATAAGGGAATAAGTGGGTGTGGTAATTGGCAAGAATTTAGGGCAGCAGGAGAATAGGATGGTGGAGGGGTAGGAGTCCACATATAGGTGAATGAGAGGTGAGTGGAGTGGGCATTGGGTGCAGGGTGGCCAGTGAGTACAGTGGCTGTAGGATAGGGTGTTAGGCAGGAGTGTTAGGTGGGTGAGGTGGATACTGTGTTAGGTGGGTCAGGAGGAGTTGTCAGGTCAGAGGTGAGTCACGTTGAACCGAGTGTCAGGCGGGGTCAGGGGATGGTGTTGGTTTGGTTCAATGG